TATGATGAAACACGGTCAATTATTTATTTTCAGTCTAGGTAGCTATTTCATACAATTTCGAAAATCTCACATTTAAATTTCATGGATTAAGTCAAAAAGAAATGTGCTAAGAGATATGGGTCCAAATATTTATTGAATCTACATGAGTAGTAGAGGGCCCAAAAAATAAATTCCATTATTTTATCTATCACTGTACTGCCTACCTGGGCACTAAAATTTTTTTTAGGATGTTTTCTCAATACTAATAATTTCACTTGCTGTACATGCATTATATGTTTCAATTGATTAATTATATATAATCTATCAAAATATCACAGACACAATATTCTTGATTTGCAATCATCTTACAATAGAGGAGAAAAAATTAAGGAGGAGTCATTATTTTGGAAACTAATTTAAATTGTAACAGGGAAAAGATCAGATTTTCTGCAATTGAAAACACTGGAAATGATGACTACAACAGAACTGTTCTGCAACCTCTGAACTCTTTGAATCTCATCAGCATGAGGGGGAAGCTACCTAATTTGTCCAAACTTAGAAACAGCAAAAATAGTTTGGTTAATGCTGAGGTCTTCAGATGACAGATTTTTAAAGTCTATCAGCATTCCCTAACTAATAAATAATATTTGGAGCTCTTAAGATAATCGGCAAACCTTACTCCTATCAGTTAAAATATCTCAACTGGTCTGATTAAAATAAATGTCTAAAAGCCAAATGACTATTTTTCATTGTCTATCTTAAACACGTTTTATAACAGTGAAGACAGTGAGGCATAGCCTACAGTAGACTACTACATTACATTTATTCATATACTTTTCCTGATGGGATCACCTAGGTGTTGGGCTGTACAGAACACACTGAAAGTCAGTCATGAGACTGAAACAGAGAACTTATTTTACCCATTGGCCACAGCAGCTAAATTCTGGAGAAGGGTGAAAGGAAGACTGTTTCCTTAGTATGGCAGAGTATTAGCACCAGTGAGGAACTGCAGAATTTATCTTCTGAAGGAATTAATCCCTATCCAAAGGCCTTGTATTTTATCCATTCATCTTAAACCCTGAACAACTGTTTCCTGAAGAACTCCAAGTTTCACCAAATAATGGGACCTAAGTTACCTCTATTCCACCTGAACCTGCACAGGCATAGTACTTTGTGTGAGACAAAGTATCATCTTAAATAACATCCAAAATCACATAGCTACTGCAATTTTAAGTATCAGACAGTAATACTTCCTGTCTTCAGTAAACATCAGTCTGGATCCATTTTAAAAATCATGATCCCATCCTTAAAAAATAACTATTTAATAGGGGAATCTGCCTCTATTAATAAGCTCTTTCTTTTTGCAACTAAAAACTATGTTACTTACTAACTGACTAAGTTATAAGATCTCTGCTTAAGAATGTAAAAATACCTTAGAAAATTTATTTTCTTTCTTTCCCCATCCCCATTACTGATAAAATTAAATGGTGCCACAAGCAAAGGATTTTATTATTCAAATGTTTCATACATCCAATATATCAAACATCACTTCTTATTTTTAAGCTGATGATGATCAATGGCGACATCATAATTACTAATCTTTCAGTCCTGAGGTTCAATATATTAACTTCTTTCCAGTGTAGTGCTTGTTTTCTTCTAAGCTTGCAGGTTCTGAACCCACAAAGTACACCACAGAAAGAACTCTGACAGAAATAATAACACGTTAAGACTGAAAATGGACTGAAAATCAGGCTGTATACTTTATATAAGCACTACAAAGAAACTATAAATCGAGTTCATTTTTAAATACTAATTTCAAAAAACACCAGTACTGAAAAGTGTTCTTGAAAAAGATGAAGAAGTAGCTAGAAGAAAAAAAAAAAAACAACTAAAAATTCTACAAAATACTCCAGCAGCAGAACTTACCAAATAAGGGCAAAGACTTCACAGAGTAGAGAACACAGGACAAGAAACTTGGAACAGGACACAACTGTCTACTGAAACTCATAACTGAAACAAATTATCTTGCCTTGGTTTGTAGGGTCTGAAAGCTGCTAATACTGCTGCCTTAAAAGTGTAGACATGGTTCTATAAGATACAGAAAACAACCCAACATTCAACCCGTCTAACATCACTTTTGTTTGTGCTTGCATAAAACACCAATGTCTTATTTGGACAAGATCATAATGAAAAGGGGAGAAAGCAGCTAAATAATTCTATATTGAGGAGTATGTTGTAGGAACGTTTCATTAAA